CCCCCCCCCCCCCCCCCTATCACCCAACAAATAGTGGGGCCGGTAAAATGGTATTTTCCCGGGCTGGTCCGAAGTTCCAATCCGTCACTGATAAGAAACATCCTGTACCTACCTATATAATAATTCATAAATTAATGAATTGACTGAACCGGTCTGGTGGTTAGGACCTATATAGAGTCAGTACAGTGTACCTTATTTGAACCTTTAGAAAATAAAAAACTCTAAGGGTTGTTTTTAATTCGAATGTTTTCATAAAGTTTTAATGTAAAATGTATTCAATTGTAACCGTGTAGCAGTGACGACGTAACAAACACATTAATTACGGCACGTGTGAAAATGAACGAAACACTATAGAATTTAATGTTGACAGAGACAAGAGTTACAAAAATTAAATAAACTACTGTTATTGTTATACAGGTAAAGCGCCGCAGAGATACAAAGTTTTCGAAGATTAAACATAGGTGCCCAGTTTGTAAATTCAATATTTGGTTTTAGAATAATTCAAAATTATTTAACCGGTAAAATATTATTCAGTTGCTCGAAATCTCTCAGACAATAACATTTAGGTACCTAATATGTTTTTCAGTTATGTCAAAATGTATTATTACCTATATAGGCGTACCATTATGTACAGCGAAGTAGTGGCTGCCATGGGCGCCCACTGTGTGGTGCTGCGGGGAGGAGGGAGGTATGGCCATCACAATTTCAATGAACATTAATCGTTTTATCACGTTTTGTAAAAACAAAAAAAATAATATGTGCTGTGCTATCGACAATTTTTGACTTTGGTCCCCATCCCGGCTTACATTTCTGCGAGCGACTTTGGTGGCTGCTGTCAATGGGGGGCCAACGTACGTATATGTTTCTGGCACATAATTCTCAAATAATTCGCTCAAAATGTTTCAGATTTGTAACCCGTCTTACACTAGGAATCTTAACAATCTATTACATCTACCTGTGGGTTTTGTCTATAATACTACCTGCGTGTTTCAATTTTATTATACATGCAGTTAATTAATAATGAATAATATCTGGGTAGTGTTCTTTTTTAGCGAATTTCGTTAACCGACGGGTAATGTCGCCATGTCGGTACCTAACATATTATATTTTATTTTATTATAGAACGCGGGAATTTCGAAAATGGAAATTGGCACGCGTTCGTAAACGTTTGTACAAAATGTATGGTAGAATTACAATGAGTCCATAGATCGGCGAAAAAAAAAAAAATAACGAAAACTAGTGAATTGTAGTGTATTATTCCTACGGTTCGAGAGTTTTTCAGTAATGTCAAAAAATATTAATGTATTGCCCACACAGGCACACTATTATACAGCGGCGGCGGCGGCTTCTATATACCTACGCCGATGGTGGTTTATACAAGTGTTGTTACTGGCACCGTCGGTTTATACAAGTGCATTTAAAATTGGGGCATTGTTGTCATCTCGTTTGTCAACCTTTGTTTTCCGCCATATTTCGTCTGTCCGTCTCCGTCGCACGTTTTAGCATTTTATCATAATATAACTGTTTTACCGTATAGTTTCACTCTCCTGCTACAACGTTTATGCGGCACACGACGAACGACGAGCCCTTTACAAAATATTATACTATTATTATTATTATTTGTTTTCATTTCAGTTAAACGGTTCCGCATGTGTGCACTGCATGGCATAATACGCTACATCACGTATTATTCATCAAATTATTATTGTGTCTAATTAGAATAAATTTTGGGCGCTATATGCGATTACACAACGTGTTAAAAAATATAAAACCTCACAATTATATACATATACCTACGAGATATAAATAATTACTATTTCGGGGATCAATAAAATGTATCTCGTTTATAACAATTTATTATCGGGCCGCGGTCTACACGATTGTTCGCTTTTCTACTGCAGAACTGTCATGCGAATTAATCACTTTTTTCATTGGATTATTGTTTGCAAACAAACTATACATTGTTTAATGTACCTAATTCATCATAATTAATTTACATAAAAAAATGACGTGTGCCCATGATATCACGATATTATATTATGTATTTCAATTTTCAATACCATTTATGATATCAGATTGAAATGACCTACTTTTTTCGTGTATAGGTATTTTCGCGCATCTCGTTTAGGTACAATATAATGCACCTTTACACAATGTAACATACTGTAGAAACTATATGGTACTATAATACTTTAAATACAATATGGTGTCAAGTATTAGAACTAACAATATCGAATAAGTACATCTTTTTTTTCGTTCAACTTTTGAAGGAATTACTTTGTAAAACGATTACATGATAATTCAATATTCAGTGTTAAATGAGATCTAGATTTTATTATAATTAATTTTATATTAATTATTCACGGTAAACAGGTCTTGAATTTATAACTTTAACATTGCCTATTTTTTATGAAAAATATGACTGAGCTCTTTGTAAATAAAATAAAATGTTGTATACCATTTTATTTTTCATAATTAAGTTGAATTTAATATTTTTCAAATTATTTTACCTTAAGATAATAAATTGTAATTTGTAACGATAAAAAATTTTAAAAATGTCATTTAAAATGCATAAACTATAAATTAATAAACTTATTAATTAATTTGATTATCTCCATCACTATAATAGCTACAAATTACGATTAACAAAATCAATGTAATAAATACAAATTAGTAGATAGTAAAAAAATGCAATCTATTTTCTTACAACAAAACATTTTGTACAATCATATGTAGTTTATATTCACCTCAATTTAACAAAAAACTGATTTCAAAAATAATTTAACCATGATATGCATCTAGATATAATTATTAATTACCGAATAAAACATTTTTGTAATTTTTATATGATATTATAGTGTTTGGATTAGTGTTTTGATTTATGAATAGTGAATATACTTAGTTTACACCAAGTATGTCAAACTCAAATTATTAACTGGTCCAAATATACTGATTAGTTTACTATGCGGGCCGCACATACAAAATTATCGAAAAAAAACATTTTGTACACATTTTCCATTGAATTCATTACTTACAATACTATACCCAATACAGTTTATCAGAAGATAAGACAGAAAAGTAACATAATATGTATACTTCTCGCTAACATGGTTGTGATACGAAAAGAAAATTGCATAACTTTTTTCTTTTCAATTAATTGTTGATTATAATTGCTATTCGCGAAGCTTAAAAAAATGAGCCGGGTAAATGCCTATGGTTTACACATTCAAGTAGTTAGACGTTAGAGGTTAGGCTTATCTACTAAATGATTTTTGATATTGTTATATTTGTACAACTGTAATATTATTGGTCACCCGCGTATTATATCTTTTTTTTTTAAATAGTTAGGTACTAAGTCTTGTATTTTTGTAATCACACATATTATTAAGGTATGATATAGTTGTATGTCTTTATTTGATTCTAATTTCAAATATAAAACCATGTTTTAGGTTTTGGCTGTTCTATTCCATTAACGGACTCTTCTTCTTATTTATAGTAATAATTTCGCATATTATAGTTGATTACCTAATGATTATATTATATTTGTATTACTTTTTAAGTTTTCCCGTCACCTGAAAATAATTTGTCAGTGCTATAATGATTCTTTTGCAGACTGTCAATTAGGTATAGGTAGGTACAAGGTGTAACAGAAAGACCTGATAAATGAAATTACTTTTGTCCTAATCAATACTTGAAACTTTTTTTAAATTTATTAATTTGAATTTTGATAATTTTTTTCAAATCATAATTTTTGGGAAATTTCAGACAAATAAAATCTAAATCATTTGTCATCCATACAATTTTTATAACTTTTTTATGCGTTTAACTTGTATCAATTTTTTTTTTAATTTGCTAAGCCTGTCTGTTCTATCAGTATAATATTCGTAGACTTTATTAATATATTATTTAAGACAATTTTTTCTTCAAAATTAAAATAATTAATACATGGGGCTTTAATTCATTATTTTTATTTTTGTAATAAATGTATTATTTATGTGGGGGACTTCCACCCAAAATTGGAAAAAATATTTAAATTTCAGCTTATTAATTACCTAATCACCAATTTACTCACTAAATATAGCTGAACAAATACTATAATACATGCAATTGTTTTAAACACATCTTGTAAAATTAATAGTTACTCGATCGTTTTAAAATGTAATAGGTAATTAAAACTCTAAGTTAGTTTTGGAGCATTGGACGTATTGTATAGGATGATTGATAGGACAGGTACATAAAAATATTAAAAATCAAAACACTTGTTGTACCTAGTAAATATTTCAGTAACAGTGTTTTAAAGATCAGGTTAAGTACAGTTAAAATGCAACGACAATTTATGTACTTAAATTTAAAATAATGTGTACATTATTTGTACAGATATGTAGTTATGCATACAATTTAGTTATGATAATAATAATTTAGTATGATTGATAATTATTATAATTCAGTAGGCATTCAAAAACTTAACTTAAATATTCAGTTATTAATGTTCAGTTCTTCTGTATAAATTATTTCATAAGTATTCGTAGTTTTATGTGAATAGAGTGTACCGTGTACAATTTTTTTATTTTATAACTTAACTAGTACCAACAATTTATTTGTAAAAATTATATTATAATATTGTATAATGTAAAATAGGTTAGGTTAAATGTAAAATATGTTTAATGATAGAAAAAGAAATAGTTAAAATAATTAAATATGATAAAATTACGTTTTTTAAAATAATTCCACATCATTAATTATACACACATATTTGTAAAAAAACTGCATTCATTTGTTAAAATTATAATATTAACCTATTGGTTAAAAAAAAAAAAAATTAGGTATTATGATAGGTTTTTAATTTGACATTATTGTGTTATAATAATTAATAATAAAATGTACCATTTATACAGTGTATTTAATTGTAATTTATTTTATAACTTCTAAACTTATACTGAGTTTTTTTTTTAATGATTATGGAAAACTTATGGAAAAAACACAATTCTTAAGGAAAAATTATTTGTTAACAAATCAGTACAAAATAAATACTTTAAGCGATTTAGCGCCGTGTTTGGCCGCGTATAGATTGGCTCTTATACAATAGTGAATAAATGTTATAAATAGTAAAAAATTAAGGAGCGGAACAAAGTCATTGCTTTTTTTTTGAAAAAATCAAAAAAATTGTACAATAAACACAAACAAATTAAATTTAAATTAAAATAGGATTTATTTAATTTGTTATGAATTAAAGTTGATTACTTTCTTGTAGGCAGTTTTCAATCTGAGTCTGACTGTTCTTCGTCTACAAAATCCATAGACTTTGAACTGGAACTATAAACAATGCAATTTATAATTATAATTATTAATAAATAAAATAATAATAATAATAATAAATATAATAAATACAATAATAATAATAATTAATGTAATAATATTTTAATAATAATTTATAGTAATTTATTTATTTTTACAAAAACTACTTGTGTATGATACACATGAATATAATAATTTTACTTTAACAAAAAAAAGTATGATTTACAAAGAAACCCAAATTAAATATCACAATAAAATAAATTAAGTAATCTCTTATATTTGGAAACATAAAAGGAACAGAAACAGGCTCGAGATATCGAGTTTTGTATCTTAATGGTAATTTTTCAAGGGAATCTCAATTGAGTTCGAGATTACGAAAAAACCAAGTTATCGAAGTTCGACATAATAAGAATTTACTGTATTTTATTTACCTAAATACCTAATTATAATTTACCATATTTTAACTTACAGGCAGACAGTGTGAAGTGAGAAATAGATTAAATGTCTCTGCTTTTTCGATACTAAAATGTAATTTAAGAAACGTACATACCTACCAGTATGTAGGATGTACTCGTAGTATTTAAAAACCATTAAAAACCATTTTAAACATACCTCGCTGTTATTGTGGATAATCGATTGCTGGCAGGTAAACTCGCTCTCTTTTTCGTTTCTTCTTCTAGAGAAGAAAGGGACATGCAGAAAGTCGACCCAATCTCTCTGAGTTGTCTTATCCCTAAATGGAAACCCTGAAAATAATTATAATCATTTAAACACAATGGTTACTAATAATGAATAAAAACTTTTGATATTTCGATATCATCATAACTTATAATTGAATACCTTAAAAACCATTAAAGTATATTTTGAAAAATAATCAACTATGCCCTAAAAAATGCCTTTCCAACAAAATAATGCCCTTAAAAATTACCCAAATTGTTTAAATAAACACGCATGTAAGAGTAAAACGACGGTTTTATCGTTCAGCGTTTTTAACACTTTTCCATCTTAACTAAATTAACAATAGTGCAAAAATGCATAATATCAAACTTATGCACACACGATAAATAAACATTATACTCGAGATGGACGCAATCACGATGTATCTAACTATTAAAGAAATATTTTTGGTATGTTTTAAATTGCTTAATTTACACTTAAAGCTCGTACACTATATTGATATGCACTAAAATGTAGTAAAATGACTTGAAAATTAAAAAAAAAATTAAAAAAAGTTTCATCTTTGAATAATACACCTGAAATGCATTGTCCTAAAACACACAAAAAATGATACTCTTTGCGTTGAAACCCGGGCTTTACTTGTAATTTTATACAACTACAACGCTTAATTCAGTCTACAATCAAAATACAATATAATATTAAGTACTTTATATTGTCCTTCGTCACAACCACAATAACTCGTCTCCAAAGTATAACTCCTTTTTACGCCATAGCTTCTCCAAACCGTTATTCTTGCAGTGGTTTCACGATTTCTTTCTACTTTATAATTACACTGCGATAACGAAAACGATGGACAACAGTTTTGCATTACAATCGGTAATACCTGAAAAATACACATTAAGTATACAAATGATTAATTTTCAACACATAATTGTGTAAAATTATATTTAAGTAAATACCGTTTAAATGTAATTCATTATATTTTCAGTTTATAGTAAGAACTAAACTTATAATCAAGGATGATATATTTTTAATTACATTAAATATGCACTGAAACTGTGTAATTGAATAGAAAAAAATCCATTTCGAAAAATGTTCGTAAAATTAAGAGGAAATCATTTTCAGTATTGTAATGTACCTATGGCTCATAATATCTACATAATATTTTAAACTTGAACATTTAAATTTAAAGTACTTTTTGTAGTTTTATAAACAATTAATCTTAGTAAATAATTTTTAGATATTTATCAAAACAAGGGATGGTCACTGGTTATTAAATGGTTACATGATACACTGAAAAATGTATATTATAGAATGTACTCACACGGACTAAGATACCTTAGTCTGTGATTACCCATTAATACATTGTGTATCTCCATAGATTGGAAATCATATAAGTACCACTGCTTTTTAATTTAATGACTTCTGTCCCAGCTATAGTGGACTTGTTGACTTCTATATTAAGCTTATTTTTTTTCTGTATATAGTTATTATTATTTTTTAAAAAGAATAAATTGTATGTGATTGAACTAGTTCATTCTTATAATGACTGACCATGAAATCCGTTTCATTTTCATACTTAGACAAGTCCATTCTTGACCAACTTTTTTTTGCCGAGCATCCATAAAAGAAACAGTTTTTAGTGTTTGAATGACCATGGAAATCACAATACACATAAGGAACCTTTTTCATTACATGTGTCATGTATTCCAAAATCCCCTATAACAATTAAAATATTAGTTAATTTATGATAATAATTATTCAACCAACAAATTAATATTACTTTTAAATTATATATAAATATATATATTTATAATTACATAAAATCAACTTTAAGTTTCTAAGCACAATATAATTATTAAATTAGTCGAGTGGCTATAAGAATAAAATTATATCAGATAAGGTATTTAAAATAAAATTAATAATTTATGTGTCCTAGCATTGTGTGTAACAGTTAACCGTAAAATTACAAATAGCATTGAGAGATTAAAATCTTTTATTGCTATAATTTCAGTAGTTATAAACTTATAACTGTTAATTACTATGTGAAGATCAATATTTCACTTAGTTGCGTTACGTAGTTACCTATAACCTACAGAGTTTTAAATATTAATTCGAGTGTTAGAGTTCTCACCAGAGTACATAAATAATAACAAATTGAGCCTAAAGGTTACGTATTTCGTAGGTAATGTGTAACCATAGGGTATAAAGAATATATAACAATGTTATTCATTTAGATAAATTTAACCGGGTGTGTTTATCATCTGATTTAAACTATACAACTGAATTAAATAATATTATTTAAGTTTTAATCTGTCCATATAAAGAATAAAATAAAAATACGATGTGTATGGTAAGTAATAACTCAATGTTATAAAGTAGGTACCTATGTTATAATGTAAATTTCTTTAATGCTTCAATCATGTTTAACAATATAATTAAAAGAAAAGTTGTGGTACTATTCATTGTGATTTATCAGTATTTATCTATTAATACTGTAACATTTTACCAATAATAATAATATAAAAGTCGTAAAGCATTTTTACATGTTATAACGTTTTTTTAATGTAAGTAAGAAACATCGTAACATAAGTAAAGAATTTTGAAAAAGATTAATGGATCTTGTCATTCCATATAATACCTATACTATCCTAACTTTTAAGTAGCTTGTATAAAACACTTTTATCGGAAAACGATCGTACCTATAAGATAATATTCTTTTGTTACTTGTTATCGGTTTTTGTGTAAACACTTTTGATTAAAATTTGATTATTGAATTTAGAAACACCCAAGCAATAAATTATGGTATATACTATATATGTCATATATGTACCCGAGCATGAAATATTTCTGGATGCAGTTTTGGGTCAGGTGAACTCCATTTTCTGTTCAGGTCTTCGTTGGTTAAACCGCATCGGTGGCTAAAACAGATAAGACATATCGTATCTATATATGTTGATCTCATTTTATTTTGTAAGACACTATTGTACATATTTTGTTCAATGTGTATTTTCACGTGGCGCCAACGGATTTATCGATAATAAAATCGCATTCAAGGGATTCGACACTTTGGCGCCAGACAAACCTTTTCGCCACGGGAAGTGCCTACGAAGATATAATATAAAATTCACAAACCGGGGTGGGTACGATCCAAAAGTGGGTGCAGTATTGTTAATGCGCGTTAACGATAATAACACATTATTTATGATGATATATTGACCGATGATCACGATATAATACTTTAAAGATGTTACTTTTACAAGTGAGATTGTCCCGTATAATATAATATAATGCGTTTCTATTGTGGATTCAATATTGCACCATGGTGGGCCATGTACTACTCAGTCGGAGTATCTTTTACATACGTCAATTTCTACATAATATAATACGAGATGTGTAAATTCCAACACGAATATAAAAAGAAGAAATGTCCTACACGATAAAAAAAGCACGTATGTAAGTTCAGAGGAGGAAAAAATATTATTATTCATAACTATATAAAATTATCGTAATAGATACATTTCATTTTCATACACTTTGTAATTTAATAATTGTTAAATCAAACGTTTTTTTTTAAAGACAGTATCATCAGTTTGATAACTTATACACCTAAAGTAAAGTATACTTTTTTAAAAATTGTCGAATAATAAA